GTTGTTCCAAGTTAGGGTTGCCCTAACAAATTTAAAATTTAAATTATATATGGTTGAATAAAGTGGTTGGTCCCGTTCACAAGTGATTGTTGTTTTGATGTAATATCTCTCCACTTGATTTTAGGTTAATCCCGGCTTTAATAAAATCATTTAATTTATCTCGCTCTTAGTTTTTCCTAGTTTCTGTTTTGATTATAACAATCTCTCTTTCCAAGCGATTTTATATATCCAGTTTAATTACCAAATAAAACATTTTAAATAAAAATATTTTTTGCCTGATTTTGGTTTCTAGCATTTAAATGCTGGTTTAATTGACGATTTAATTCAGCATTTTGGTTTAATAAAATATCATTTGCAAGATCCAAATTAACAAATTGGTCTTTAATGTTGGTAATCGGTTGCGTACGTGCAGGGTCTTTATTTTTAAAAGTAAATTGTTTTTATAGTTAAAAATTATATTTTTAAAAATTTAAATATTACGTAGTGACTTAAAAGTCCTGAACGGAAGGTACTTTAAGCTGCCATATTGGACAAGCAAATGACTGATTGGTTGATCCAATTGAGTTAAAGCCTATTAAGAATGTTTATATTTTTATTTTGTTACAATAATACAAACATTTTGTTCCACTGGATGTTGCGATCCTAAAGGACCCTCAGAATTCATTCCAAATAATAACGAAAAAAGTTGAAGAAAGCAAAAATTTAAAAGAATTAAATTGTAAATTTTCATCTTTAAAGTAAATAAATACTTTAAATTAAATATTTCTATGTTAATATTGAATGCATTCAAATCAACACAGTAATTGCTATTTAAAAACATCCCCAGATTAAGGGTGGGATAACTGAATACCAGTCATTTTTTTACTTTATTTGGTGAGTTTGTATGATGTGTTTTAAAATTAAACCCATTCCCAAACTAAGCCAAATAGTTAATTAAATAAAATAAAATGAATAGTAAAGCAAGTTGCTTCTATTTTTAAAGCCAATTAAATGTGGGCGTGACTTAGATAAGTGCACCTAAAGTCTTGGCTTGAATGGCTATATTTTCTTTATATAAATTAACTTTTTACCCCTAGCAAAAATATTTTTTCAATTTGACATTGAATTTTAAGCTAACGAGCTCTTAAATTTAAGACATCGCATAAGTTCGTGGGACGATTACATGGGACGCCTATTAGCTCATTGCCCTTTCTTTTTACCCCTAGAAAAATATTTTTTTAATTTATCTTTAAATTTTAAGCTGATTGGACAATTTCATGGGACGCCTATAAGCTCATTGCCCTTCCTTTTTACCCCTATTAAAAATAGTATTTTAATTTACCGACAAACATTAAGCTAAATTGAGCTAAGATTGACAAGGCATGTCTTAACAGGTAAATCAAGTGACTATGTATAGTAAAGCAGCTGGGCTATAGCTATTCCTCTTCTTTAGCTAATATTGGGTTCCGATTCTTCTATAATAAATAAATTTAAATATTCTTCTTATATTCAAAAAATCTAACTCAAACAATAATTATCAAGTTTTATTTAAGTTGGGTTTAGGTTTGGGTAGCAAGTTTGATCAATATGAGCTTAAAATATAAAAAACAAATAAGTTTTATATGGTTAAGGAATGATCGGAAGAAGGTTAAATGAGTGGGTTGTAAAACATTGATAATAAAAAAATAGATTTAAAATATATCAGAAGTTAGAGATCGAAGTAAATGTGTGTTTTGAAAGAATGTTTTGTTTGGGGGAATGTTTTGAATATTTTAAAAATGAGATCAATATTGGGTAATACCCTAATGGGATAATACACCAAAAAAGATAAATATTTTTTTTTAAATTTTGCCATGTTATATTAAAAAGAAATTTTATTTAAATAAGTTGGGTTTAAGTTTGGGTAGCATGTTTGATCAAGACGAGCTTGAAATGTAAAGAAACCTCTTCGCTTTACAACATTTCCATCAGAACATTATTTGAATTAATTTTATTTATATTCTCTTCAAACTATTCCAAACTAAACTAAGCTAAACTCAACCATCCGCTCTCTCTCACTCATATAAATATATTAATTACTATTTAAAAACAATATATAATTATAAGTAAGATTATATAGAAAATAAATTTAAAGCATTTAAGAGTTTTTTTTAAGCAATGAGATGCGCGTGTAATTTATCCCTGATCTTTCTTCTTGCCCTTATAAATCGAAATTTCGAACTTTTAAATTCTTAAATCAAACAATCAGGGGATTAATTATTTAGGGCAAACACTCTCTTGATTGAATATATGAAATTATATGTCGGCGGCAGAATTTAACTCAAATCAATTTTTCAATTTGTAAAGTGCAAGTGTCGATTTTAAAATAATGTATAAATATTATATTATATTTATAATAAAATAATATATAATAAATAATAAACATTACCATAAAATATAATAAAATTATAATAAGATATATTATTAATGGTAAATGTTTAGTTGACTCCTTACTTGTCCGCAAAGAGAATGCTCACTTTTCTTTCCTTTCTTTGCATTTTTGGCGTTAACGATAGCGGACATCCGATATCGTATATTTAATAACGCATAAAGAAAAACTAAGAAGGAATAGGATATCCTTGATATCCGTTCAGGTCCCTAATCCTTCAATTTTTCTAAATCATTGTTATCCCTGGAGACACCACTTAATTCCTCCAAATCTCATTATATCCCTAGAATTAAAGGGTAAAAAGGGCATTAATCTTTTTCGATCTAGAAATTCTCTGAAATTCCTTTTAATCTTTTGATTAACTTTAAAATCACATATTTATATTTAATCATTCTAAATTTATTTTATTTATTAATAATTAAAAACAGAATTTATCTATGTTTATCACAAGAGTATTTTAACTACAAATTATCGAAAAATGTTTTAAAAAATGAAATAAAAATTAATGAAATTATAGACCAATTGTGATAGAAAGAATAGAAAATTATAGACATATGTAGTATGTTCGTCTTGTTGATAACTTCATTTAATTATAAATCAATTAAAATATCTTAATATACTCCTTACTTCAATTGCCATGAACAGATCCACCACGTCCACCACTACGAACTCGTCCATGTCCACTTTGACCATGTTGGCCTTGTCCTTGTTGACCTTGCTCATGTACATATTGTTGCCTTTGTTCATAATGGCCTTGCGCATGCTGGACGTGTCCAATTAGTGCTGCCGCAACTAAATGTGTCAATTAATCCATGAAATAATTTAAAGCCAATATTATTAATGCCAGTTACCTTCATTTCGAATCGCTTGATCAGAATTATGAAGTCGATAGAGATAATAGCGAATTATTCGCATATCTGCTAAAAGATTGGTTTGTTGGGTTTTGTTAATTTCGAGAAGTCTATGTATTTGTTGTTCCAAGTTAGGGTTACCCTAAGGAATTTGAAATTAAAATTATATAAAGTTGAATAAAGTAAAGCGACTAGTTCCGCTCCAAAGTGGTTGTGGTTTTGGTGTAATAAAGTTTAGTATGTTGCAATCATGAATGAACTCCGCAGAGTATAGGACAAAGGGTTTCGCACCCAGTTGAATGAATGAAGTTATCTGCCCTTGCCTATTCCATTCAGACTTATATGCACCAGCTTACTTACCAATCGTTTTCCCAAGGATAAGTTAGTTGCTAACTCTCTGGGTATGCACTCTCTGAGAGCATGATTTATCTTCACATGATTTTAGGCTGATCCCGGCCTTATCATTTCATTCATTTAATCTGGCTCTTATTTTTTTCCTACTCTCTGTTTTGATAAAATTTAAATTACCAAATAAAAAGATTTTATATAAAAAATATTTTTGCCTGATTTCGGTTTTTAGCAATTAAATGCTGTTTTAATTGTTGATTTAATTCAACAGATTGATTTAATAAAGCAATATATACATAAGACAAATTATTATATTGTTCTCTAATATTGGTATTTGGTTGCGCAGGATCTTTATTTTTAAAAATAAATTGTTTAAAAAATAGAAATTACGCAACATCCAATTTGTTATGACCGAAAGGTACTTTAAGTTGCCAAATTCTTCAATAAAAGGACTAATTTGTTCACGCAATTGAGTAAAATCCTATTAAATGTTTATATTTTTATTTCATTACAATAATACAAACATCGGGTTCCACTGGTGGTTGCGAACCTGAACCTTCTCCAGGATACATTCGTCCTCCTGGTTGCGATCCTGAACCTTCTCCAAGATACATCCCTCCTCGTTGCGATCCTGAAGGACCCGGATTCATTCCAAACAATAACGAAAAAAGTTGAAGAAAGCAAAAATTTAAAAGAATTAAATTGTAAAATTTCATCTTTAACTTAAAATAAATGTTAAAATTTAAATATTATCTAATTAAATATTGCACTATTGCTGATGTAATTTACTATTGCTGCCCTATTACATAATTCAAATATTTTCCCAATCAACTTATTTAAATTGTTGGTTGCCCTTTAAAAGTTTACTTTTACTTCCTTTCACTTGCGCTTTGAAAAAAATTATTTAAAATTTTGCACTTTGTAATTCTTTGCGAAATATTAAAAAATATTTTTAATAAATAATTATAAAATATATTTCACAATAAAAATTTATTATTTAATATTAACGAGGGTTTTTAAAAACCTTGAACCTATTGCAAGGTTTTAAGGTTTTAATTTAATCCACAACAGTCGGTTAAATCAAAAAATTAGAAGAAATTTGAAAGGATTAAGCCTCCAACTGGCAATAACACCCCATAAAAGGAATGAGTCTCATATTGACCGCGACGGTCCGGACGGTAAGGTTAGCGGTTCGGAATCGAAATGCAGAAGCAAGAAAATTCTGTATACAATTCTGTTTAAAATTCAGCCCAATATTTTTTTAAAATCGCAAGATTTTTGGTTCCAAAATTTTTTTAACCAATTTAAGTGTAATTAATCTAGTTAAAAATATTTTTAAAAATTATCTTTTTAAATTTTTTTTCAACAAAAAAAAAATAAATTTAAATATTCAGCAATTCCTCACACCAATGGGCAGCTTTCGCCGTCGACTACCTCCAACACCCTTGGATTTGGCAAATGGAAGATTATCTGGTTCTCAGGATGCAATATTAATACCCCCACTTTCCGAGGATGTTGGAAATGGAAGTGTAACACTCCCACCAAGTAGGAGAACAAGTTCACCTAGAATATTACCAACACCTCCATCACCTTTACAACAATTCTCCCCAAATTCTAGAGGAATTCAAAATTCTTCTAATATGGTTAGTAACTTATATGTTAAAATGATAATTATAAATTATGGACATCGAAATAATATTTTAATTTCTTTTTTAGTAAATAATTTGTTGGTTGGAATAGGGATCCTATAGACTAGGGATCCTATAGATCCCTATAGACTAGGGAACGGCACAGGATAGGGAAATGCAGGCTTGGTAATGGATACGGATATGGATACAAATAAGTTCAAAAGCCTGCAGATATCCATCTGGTTTCGCCGTAAATATCCGGATACGGATACTAAAGTCCATGTCCATTAACAAATCTGGTGAAATGAATGTATAATCCGAGATAACATTATAATTTCAAAAGACCTGAAACCATTATTTTCAAAATTTCGGATTTGTAGGAATTTCATTATTAAGTTACCGGATATCGGTATTACAATTTTATTCTCCTTTCATACTTTTCGAAATATTTTTTTGGATTAATCTATTGGGTTTATTAACTAATCCGAAACTTTTTTTTTGTAGAACTTATCTTACAACGACGAGAATGTGGGTTATCAACAACCACCCCCTGCTAGCCCTTTTGAAAGGCGTCGCTCAGTTCGACGTCAACTACCTCCAGAACCCCCAAATATTCAACAATACGACTCTACCCCGAAACTTATAATTGTCAATAATAATTCTTCACATCAAATAACTAAAAGACAATTGAGCGGGGAAACAAAAAGTAATAAAATTGAAGGAATTGCAACGCTAACTATTGAAGAAAATGTAGAGAATGGGAATGGTTTACAGAGGAGTTGTTCTACTAGAAGTACACGTCGAACAAAAGGAATGGAAGGAGAGAAGAATATGAGAGGGACTAGGTAATTAAAATCTAAGCTGGAGTAGCTTAACATTGGGTGGGCCTTGATTCTGTGGAGCTCTCCTATTCAAGGTTGTCAACCAACCGCTCAGCTATATTACTACCGATTGAAGTTTTCATTTATAAACTGCTAATGCTCTGAGGAAACCTCACCGGCTAGTCCCACCTGAATATAACCGTTATGGCTATACTCCTAGGATCTTTTGTGAAAGGGTTATAATGAGATCAACTACTTACGCAAGTTTTTAGGAGTCATTCTACTTTCTTGGGTCTTGGGAGTAGTTTCTTTAGTCTTAGGATTACCCAAAAGTTACCTCACATTTTTAAATTAACACACAATCAAAGCCTCTTTAAATTAAAATTTTATTAATTTTCCTCAGGGGTTCAAATGCTTCATCCAATTTGCCTCCAACACCCTGGACTCACCATTCATTAGAACAACAACAAAATAATTTCGAAAATGATTCTAATAATGTTATAACTTTAGCTAACAATATTTCTCTCTCCCCTCTTCCTCCTTATATTAATGAAGAAGAACATAATACCCAGAAACAACAACCCCCTCTATTAAAAATACCTTCAACAAATGCCTTAACTTGTAACAATAATAACGTTACAAGGCATGGACGGACATTATCTAGTAGAAACATAAAAGAGGAAAAAACAACAGAAATAGTATAATATTTAATTAATTTTTTAATATATAAAGTCAATTCTCACTACAGATACCTCCTCTTAACGCTGAAGAAACTTTATAACTCAGTATACATTACCCTCCTTGAGGCCTAAAAATCATACTACTTTATGAGGGGTATTTTATATTAGAAGCATCCCATTTATACTCCCTATACTCGTCAGTCTTCCCTTACCCAATGCCAACCAAAATTAAATAACGCACCGTATTTTCTCCAATAGAGAAATCGGCTAGTCTATATTCAGTCCCTTCTCAAAGATTCTCTCTCAAAGACAAATCCGTTCAGCAAGGGATGCTCGCTCTATTTAGGAAAATTCTATATAAGAAGATATGGTATCTTAAATTGAGGTGTTGGGTGTACTTTATAGCGAAGTCTGACTGTATTTAAAATTACTGTCATTGTAGAAGTGTAAATCAAAAATCAGTTAAAATCAAAGAAATTGTAAATTCCTCCCTTTTAAATCTAGCTACAACACCAACGCCGCAGTCTTACCGAACAGACAGAAACAATGCCATTATCCCCAACAACCCGCCCTGTTGCTTCCAGCCTTGGGGCTACCATGTCAGGACCTCGAATTGCCTTCTCTAAACCCAAATTAACCCTAAATAACAAAAAAGAAGAGGAAGACATTTTGTCTAATGATATAGAGCTCGATAATGAGGAAAATCAGATGATCGCGAAATTAAGTATTGCGAGTGGTCGGCCTTCTATAACGAGTACAAATTCTATATCGCCATCATTATCGGCAACTACTAATAATTCTGCTCTGACACCTCCACCACCTTCTCAAGCATTTTTTGGTAAATTAAAAAAAAAATTTTTCTCTAAGGGAATAATTTTTCTGGAAATAGGAAAATATATTTTGTGGAAGGAAAAATAATAGTTCGAAGTCTAGAAAAATTTTTGATTAAAAATAAATTAAAAATATTTATGAAATTTAAAAAATTAATTTTTATGGCAAATTTTCGTAATTCAAAAAATTTAGAAACTAAAAAAATTTTTGAAAATTCTTTTGAAAATTTTTTAATTAAAGAAATTTTTTGCGTAAGCTTTTTGTGTTTAAACAAAAAATTTTTGAAATTAAAAAAAAATAATTTTTAAAACGAAATTTTCAGAATTCAAAAGTAGAAATTAAAAAAATTTTTGAAAATTTTAAATTAAAAAGATTTTTGCGAAAAATTTATTGTTTAAACAAAAATATTTCTTGTAATTTTGCAAAAGTTTCTTGGTATTCCTTAATATGTACCTTGCAAATCTTGCAACTGTTCATGCATTTAAATTTAATTTCATCTTTGTATTAAAATTTAATCTTAATCAAATTCCTTGCAAATTTTTTTTTGTTAATTTAGCCTCTGCTCCAAGCAGTCCCCGCGATTTTTATTCATCAAGTAGTAATTGCTCTTCTTCTCGTAAGTATTCTGCCTCTTCTGGGTCTGCCTGTTCATCTGCAGATTCTTCACAGCCACAACAAAATATGGTAATAAATAAAGTTTTTCGAGTCAATGAGGCCAAGTTCCTTAAACACAGTTCGCCTTATCATCTGTCTCCAAAACTTGAATTCTGTCACATTTCCGGTTCCTAATTTTTTGACGTTTCCGGTACAGAGAATAGAAACCTTGGGGACTTGAACGAGTTTTTAGCATAATTCAGTTAATTAAAACCCAATTTCCAACAAAATTTTTTGAAAGCTTTTGCTCTAAGTAGTCCATTGGTATTGGATTAAAATATAATTGAATCATATCGTTCGATTATAGATCGATATATACTCTTCGATTATGCATCGAATCGCACTATTAAATATCACGTTCTTAAATACCCACCCAATGGCTAAGGGGATTTTTTAAATTCCTTTGGCAGTTGGGTGGAGAAGCTTCTTGAGCAATACCGTCAATCTAAGCAATACCCTCAATCCTCGTTTTTAAATATAATTTCTCCAACCCCAAAGAGGTTAAGGGCAAAATCCGACTTTTTATCGTTAAAATAATCATCTAATTTTAAAAAATTTTCTCAAGTCTGCCGCCCTCACCGATTTAGCAGCCATTTCAGCCTTAAACAGCCGTTGCCACCGTTCTGGGCCAGGAACTGGAAGTATGGCACATTTACTTGAACAACAACACATTTTAAGACGAGAATTTACTTCAGCAACTATTCCCTCTCAACAACAACATTCTGTGGAGAATGGAGGAAGTAATACTATTTTACATGGAAGCCAATCAAATTCATCTTCATCTCTTTCTCCCTCAATGGAACAGGTAAATTAAATTATAATTACCTAATTTATTGTAAAAATGAGAGAGAAATAGTAGCCCTAATTTTGATTAAATGACTTGAACGAGAGAGTGTGTCTTATTTTTGTTTAAAACACATTAGCTGCGTAATTAATTTAATTAATTAATACTCGACCCCAAAGAGGTTAAGGGCAATATCCTATTTTTTATCTAAAGTTTGTCGGATCGAATTATCGAGGATTTTTCGGTTCTTTGATTTTGATTTTTTGAAGATTTTTAATGAACCGATACACCATTTTTACGCTGATTAACCATTGGACTGTACCTCTAATTTCGAGATGTACATATACAGGGGAATATTAGGGAATACTGAAACAGATTTTAAAAAGCAAAACTCGAAAGGCGAAAATAACTTTTAAAAAAGTGTAAGGCATAAATCCAAAAAAACGTGAAACTGGCACACCGGTAAACTGGCACACTATAACTGGCGCACCAGTCGGCTACTCTATATTCAAGTCCTCTCTCAAAGGCTCTCAATAACAAGGCCGTTAACAAGAGTTGCCCGCTTTATCCAAGGCGGGCAACTAAATCCTATTTGTTAATTTTCTTACTCTACCATTAAGCCATTATAATTTTATTTATTCTCTACTTAAAGCTTTACTCAACCATTAAACATTCCATAGGATTAACTAAAGCTGCTTGTTAAAATTTTTTTATTAAAATTTACTTTATATTCAGCTTATTTAAAAAATATTTTTGTTAATTGTTATCCTATTTCTCAACAATTTTTTTCAAAAAAAAAAACAATTTATGCTAAATGTTCATTAACTACTAGCTACTAGCATCTCAATTTTCAAAACAATTTCCCTTCTTTACGTAAATATTTTTTCCCTTCCCTTTCATTCCTCCCCTCCTCTCCCCCTCACTTAATTAAATTATATTTAACAATTTCCGGTTTCCCCCCTTATTTATTTTCTCTGAATAATTAAAATAATACAAACAAAACACAAAAAATATTTTTTTTTGTTTATTTTTAAACCAAAATTAGTGAATTAATATTTAAATAAATTAAAAATTCTAAAAACGAAAAATAAAAATAATTTTATTTTTATTCATGACACTCTTTTTTTCTTTAATAATTTTTCTATTTTCTATTTTTCTTTAAAAATTGCTTAAAAACAATTTTTGAATCTTTTATTTTTGAATTATTTATGTATATTTTTTATTTGTTTATGTTGTTGTCAAGTTTTGATATGTTGTTCTGTGTTTAAGTTGTCAAGAACTTAAGTTGTCGTCGACTCCGTTTGTAGATTGAGCCGGCAAATTGTGTTGTCGTCGTCAATGTTGTCGTCAACTTGTGATGTCGTCGTCAACTTATGCAGTCAGTCGTGGATGTCGTGTCGAAATGTTGAACGTGTCGTCATCAAGTTTTCGAAGAGTTGTGTTGTTGTCGTCAAGTTTTGATGTCGTCGTCAACGTGGTCGAAGAGTTGTGATGTTGTTGACAATGATGTCGTCAAGCGTGATGTTGTCGTTGTTGTGTCCGCACTTGCAGAAAGAACATAAATGAAAATAAATAACCCAACATCGGGTTGGATGGTTGCACAGTCGGTTGTGCTTTCGGTTTGGGCTCATTCCTTGATGGTTCAATTCCATCTCCCATCCACAATTTTTCTACAGCATGAACATCGGACATTATAGTCGTCAACTTGTGATGTTGTCGTCAACGTTCGAAGAGTTGTGATGTTATCGACAACGATGTCGTCAAGTGTTATGTTGTCGTCAACTTGTGATGTCCTCAACAAGTTTAAATGTTGTTGAAAACCAAAATACTAAAATTCACGAAGAGACACTCTATATTTTAAACTCCGTTTGGAGCCTTAATCTTCATTCATTTTTTTATTTTAAATATTCCACCTCTTCAAAAATCCTTTTTATTTTTATACTTTTTAAAAAATTCTAAAAGTAAAAATATTTACAAAAATATTTTTAAAAAATAATCCTCCCATTTTTTCTCCCCAAAAATTATTGCCTCGTGCTTTCATTTTTTTATTTTTTTGTTCTCATAAATGAGAGAAAATTTTCTTTTAATTCCTTCAATTTTATTCTTCCTCTTAAAAAAAATTTTTTTCTTCCAAGAAGAGCTGGCACACAATATGTACACATTTTTATATGCTTTTCCTTTTTCCCTCATTTGCCAGAAGAAAGGGAAGGGGATTTATAAGAGAGAATACTTTTGTGCACATAATTAATGAATAAATGGAATTACCCGAATTGTATTTCCTTTTCAGATAAATACACACATTTATAGTTTAGTTTAGTTGAAAAAAAGATTTTTTTAAAGAATTAAATTTTATTTTATTATTTTTTTTTGAATTTTTTTTTGAATTTTTCTTTAAATTAAACAATTAAACCAGCTGGTTTTTATGCTAGTTTAGCTTCACTATGAAATGTACTTAATATTAGATATATGTAGGGTTAGGGGTTCGGTACGGTCCGAAAGATTGAGACGGGCATCGAATTTTGACCCGAAAAGGACTCGGACGGCCCGATAAAAATGAACCCCGAAAAAATGGCTCGAACTTCGGTCCGACTCGAAAATTGCAACCCTAATATTAGCTGCTTGTAAATTTAGGCTTCGTTTTTATAACGCAGCTGTTTCCTTTTTGTTTAGCTATTCCTGAACAATACCAAAATTTATAAGTAAAATACACCTCACTACAAGTTACGCTTTTTTGAAGCCTTTTTTCTTTTGTTGTTTGATAATTAATCCTCTAAATTAGTATTATACCTACATTAAGGTTGCCCAACTCGTTCTCAAAATTAGCTTTTTTTTTAATTTAATTTTTAATCTCTTAAAGAGACCTCGTCCTCATAGTTTTCATATTATACTTTTATTTTTACCCTTTTAAAAAATAGCTGAGGAAAAAGGATTTAAATAAAGAGCATTTACTAGGTATACACGGATTTACTAGGATCATAAGACAGTAAGATTAAAATTTGTTGTTTCCTCCTACTTTTTTTTCTGTGGCTTTCTTAGGATTATATGACTCATCTTGAAATAATTCATTAACTTTTGAAAATGTAATTTTTTATTTATAAGTAACCCTCAGGTATTTTAAATGTCTGCCATTAATGTAGGCCTGGATCGAGGCGAGATCTTGAACAAGAATCTTGGTTATCGATATCACTATCTTTCGAGAAATCTCGTATATTCTCCTACTACACTCCCAATCAATTTCTCATTAATACTCCCGACCCTGAACACTGACATGCTCTCTCCGGCTAACCCCGATCCCCAAACTTTCGACTCCGAAGAGTTGTGGTGTTATCCTAATTAAACTCTTTCATAAAATATTTTTAAATTTAAATCAAATTTTTGAACTTTTGTTGCTCCAAATTTACTCCAAGTACATATTTCAACAAAAAAATTTTTTTTCAGACTATGACGATAACAAAAATATTTTTTTCTTTTTTTCCACAAATTTACAAACAAAACAAATATTTTTTTCAAAAAAAAATTTATTTTTCATTTAAAAATAAGAGTAATTATGCCCCATAGGAATAAATAGGAGCTAAATGAGTTCAAATTCCCTTTGAGATATCCCCTTTTATTTTTATTAATTTCTTCCTTTCTACGTTCTAGTCTCGACCTTTTTTTCATTATTATTAAGCTAGCTAGCTTATATAAAATATTTTTTAAATTAAAAAAATATGTAAACAGACACCACTTAAAAGACTATGTAAAACACTTCCTTTTTCTCTTCGAGAGACATTTTATTAATTTTACTCTGTATACTTTTGTTTAAACTTAAAAAAAAATTTATTTCCTCTAAGGCGATATTTGTTTGGGTGTCTTTTATTTAATTAATTAAAATATTTTTTTTATTTTTTACAGGCTCTCCCCAGTAAACCCCGATCCCCGACACTTAATTAATTTTTTAAAAATTTAACATAGCTCGAGGGTGCCAAACAAGCTTTTTTAAAATCGAATGAGAGAGGTCCCTTTCGAAAACACTAAACTTAGAACAAAGCCGCTCAAAAATGTGGCAAAAATAGGGCAAAATTGGTCAGAAATATGGTAAATTCTCTATAAACCAGTCAAAAGGTCACCTTGATATAAGGCTGTCGGTTTCACCAAATTCTTCTGTTAACCGAAACAAAACCGAAAATCTTCACTTCTTCGGGTTGGTGCGATTTGAAATTGAAGCCCCTACTCCTTCATATACGAGTTAAAATTTGGTGTTCGCCTCTTGTTATCAAAAACTATTTATTCATGTTTTACATACCAGGGATCCTGTTTGACCCGATTCCCGAAAATCGGGAATTCCGACGATTTTTTGGGCCGGGATCCCGATTTCCCGAAAATCGGGAATTTTGGTTTTTTGTCGGCAGGATCCCTGATACATACTACTATAATATAGGAAGCTTAGTGTGCGCCCGCATGTTCCAGTCCGCAAATTTTTGTCTCCTACCTTAAATTTAAAATTAAAAATTTTTTAAAGGAGTACTTTTAACCATTTTTCTCCTTTTAAATTGCTTAATTAATTTTTTAAAATTTTTTTTCATTTAAATTTGCTTCATTTATTTTCCACTATTTGCTCATTTAAAATTCTCTTTATTAAAATTTATTTAATGAATTATTCTCCTTTTCAAAAACTCTCCCTTTTAAGCTAGAATCATTTCCCCTCTACTTTTTCATTTTCACTGCTCAATTGCTTCATTCATCTGTCACTGAGCACAAAAAGCTTTGAGAGAGAAGGTGTCGCTAGCAAAATGCCTATGGCAAAAAACTAAAAAAAGGCCAATATATCTAATCCCCTCAGGACTACCCTATTTACTCAACCAAAGCTTTCATTCTTCCAAAACGACACTTTGGTTAGAAAAAATTTTTTTACGGTTTCATTTGTTGGAAGGGAATGAAGCCCTTTACTTCAATCCTCTTCATTAATTTAAAACAATATAAAGAAGAGGAAATATCGGCCGGAAACTCATTCCGTTAGCTGCCCATGTGTGGTCCTCAAAAATATAATTAAACATTTTACTTTTTCCTTAACATCTTCCTCCAACTCTTAATTTTTACAGGGGACCCTCTGGCAATAGGTAGCTTAACTTTTCAAGGTTTTGCAGATACACGTAATTTTTGCGGACATTTGCGGACACACTTTAAGCTCTCCATAAATAGATACCGTAAATCCTCTAATAGAAGCACACCCTCCAATAGAAGCACACCCTACGAGAGTATCGAAAAATACAACACATGTGCTTCTATTAGAGAATCTACGGTATGTGCTTATGTTGGACCAAGTACTGACAGCTTTTCGAACGATTCCAATAAGCGTTCTTTTAAGTTTCAATTTCATTAGGTTTCAATTTTGTAAAAAATTTCAATGTCTATTAATTTCTTTAAGAGTCTCTTTTACATCTTTGTATTCTTTCTATTTCATCCGATATTTCGGGGACAAAATAATAGCAAAGAGAGAATCTCTCCTTTAGAGATCTCGATATAGTGCTATGTTACAAACTACAAGGGACTAAAGAAAATTTCCATTAAATCGAGGGTCATCAAATCGAAATTTATCGTAGTAAAAACTTCTCGAAAAACTTTACCATAATTTAATACAATATTTAAAAAATCGATTTTTTCCCCTTTTTTATTTAAAAAACTTTTAGGTTTTCTCTAAAAAAATTTTTTTTTCTATTTGCACTTTAACAACTAAAAAAACTCCAATATATTATTTAACTTGCATTCATTCCCTTTTATATTTTACATAATACATATATTGTTTTATTTAGTTGTTCTTTCTTTGTTCTTAACCCAAAATTTGTTTTATATTCTTTCCCACTTCCTGCCCCCAAAATGTTCTCTCTCTCCCTTTCCCCTATGGGACCTTTTTGAAGGCACGCATCTGTTCCGGCATGTAAAAGACATTTGGAAAGTAAAACTTTTTTGCGGTTAGAAAATTTTTTTTAGAAAACCAATAGAACTCAAATGATGTTTGATAAATGGTGATGATGTGTAAACTGTATATATTTTTGAGTTGAAAATAAATTTAAAAGTTTAAATTGCCTTGAGGCAATTTTTTTGAAGAAAATTTAAAAAATTATATAGTAGATAGGATTTTTTGGGCCTGAATATTTCACTCGATTCTTTCATGATAAATCACTACAGGATTCCATTCCGAGACCAATATCGAAAAATAACCTTAAGAAATGTCTTAAGTATGGTTATGCGTAGAGTCGGCACGGGAGAAATCCTGGGCGGGATTTTACGGGATCCCGTCCCGGAATCCCGAGATTTAATAGACGAACGGGCTTAACGGGATTAATCCCGTGGGATCCCTCCCGTTCGATCTTATCAAATTCAATCCCGTTACGGGATCCCGGAAATGCGATTTTGCCAATTTCTAGTTTCGCGACATAAAAGTTTGGCGTTTTGTTTTTGGCGTATTTTAAAAATTTGAAAAATGTGCTAACAACCCTTGTCTTAAATCAAACTTCAAGGCCAAGGATCTTTTACGTCCTCTAAGCGATGCCATCAAAATTTTTTGGTAAATTATTATCAAGGTCCGACTGTCCCGAAACACATTGATTTGACACGCATAAAATTAATTAATTCTCTCTACACATCTCTACCAGGTGTGCACGCTATTGCGGATTGCGTAAAATAGCGTATTTTTTACTTGCGGATTACGTTTGCGGATTTAAATTAAAATTGCGGATTCTACCCCTCCATTTCTCTCTCTTTTAACTTTTATTGAAATGCCCTTCCTTTATTTTAAATTATTTTTATTTTTTCCCAAAAAACATCTTCCAAATATTTTTTTTAAAAAAAAAACTTTTCCCACGAGAAATAAAAAAATTATAATATTTTTGCTTAATAACCCCAAACCCAACTCATGTGATGTTTTTTATTTTATTTTTAATGCCATTCATTCAATTTTCCACCACCTACACATTTATATTTTGTTATTTTTAGGTGTATTTTTAGAACAAAAATAGAGTTAATCCAATTTTCTTTGGTGCGGCTTTCCTTTTAGGGAATAATATGAATAGAAAAAAATTATTTTTTTATTTACTGTTTTTGAAAAAAAAATTTTTTTTGAATGATTAATCAAAATAATAAAAAATTTTTTGCAAAATTAATTTTTTTTTTCGTTCTGATTTTTTTCAGAATTTAATTTGAATTTTTAATTATTTTTGATGAACAAAAAATTTGATTTGAAAGATCTCGCCCTAGTAAATTCGTGTCTCGGTATAGCGTAGACCTTGGGTCCATAGAAAATCTTATATTAATAACCTCAAATAATTTGCCTACCATTTTATAAAATTTTACGTAAAATTGTGAGCTAAATATACTTTACTTGAGGAGGACTTCTCAGATTACCTATATGTACCACTACATTGATTCCCGAAAATCTGGAATTCCCGACGTTTTTTATCGGGATTCCGATTTCTCTAAATCGGAATTTTCACTTTTATGTCGGCTATATCTCTGAACTACACAAAAGAAAAGATACCGGGTCTATTCTAGATCTCAAACAAAAATCGGTTATCGAATTCGATATTCTCGAACTATCTATCTCGATTCTTCTACGACACTCACGTCCGTTCTCTCACTTAAGAACACATAATTAAAAATCTTTTTATAGAAATATTAATTATTTTCCAATAGTTCATTTAATTTTTTAAACTACAAAAGTATTTTTGCAAAAATAAATTTAAAATTAAACAAACTCCGTTTATTCTCTCATTACCTTAATACAAATACTTCCCACCTTCTCTATTTTTTAAATTTTATTTTTCTAAAATTTTTTTCTCGAAAATTATTTTTCTCCACAAAATTTTCTACTTTTATAGATTAAAAAAAAATTAAAATTCTTCAATTTTTTCACTAAAATTTAAAAAAAAATTTTTTTAAAAAATTAAAAAAAAATAATTTAAACAATGAAAGGCCCTATTTTTACAGCACTCCCCTCTTTCCGTTCAAGTCATTCCACAAACAGTATGAATAGTGGAAATAATAATAATAAGGTTCTTCAATTAATAAATTATTTAAAAATTAATTAAAAAAATTTTTATAGTTAAATTGTAATACTACTGTAGCTACTTCACGTTCGGGTAGTGATGTGGAAATATCTGCTGCTGATCCTTCTGTACTTGGTGAAAAATTTTTCTTTTGAAAAAATTATATTCTTTTAAAATGATGTCACCTCGCTGTGAGATAAACCTAAAAATCGTCCCTTATAATGGGATGTATATTAAATAGAGAGAGTACCTTATAATCCGGTGTATCGTGTATAATGATTATCTACTGGGCAGCTTGAGAATTTCCTAAAGTAGATACCAGGATTTGAAAACGTATCTATGTTCTAGCTGTATAATTCTGAGGTCGAACCTCGCCTTAGGGCTAAAACGATACTCCTTTAGGGCTTAAAAAGTCGTCCCTTATAGTAATGGGTTGTATCTTTAATAGCGAGTATTGACTATGTAACTCCACAAAGCAGTGGCTAACCAAATTTAAAATTGCTTATAGTAAAGTTCACTTTGCTCACTTTCAATTAAAAATTTCATAAAAATTTTTTAGAGAAAATATATTAAAAATTATTTTCAGGTTTCGACCCTTCCCTCTACGTAAACGGAGTTGCCAACCAAAACGTCAATTCCTCCCCTGTCCACGTTCTTAAAAGCAATGGCACAATTCCTAGCACATCTGGGAACGAACAACAACAACAACCTAGACCTAGAGGTTTAGGACTTCTTCACTGTACTCTACAGCATTTTCCTGTTCGGAAACGATTACGTGTTAATGTGCTTAAAATTGAAGGTACAGATTAAAAATACAAGTGAACGGAGCACTCAAGCCGGGGGCCTAGCTTTATGGCCAGTTAGTCGGAAACCGGATTTATTGATAAAATCGCGAGTTTCCGGAGGCTCTGGTCATTTTAAAAGAAAAAAACTTGGATACAGGACAAGTCATTCGAAAAGTCCACAGTCCAAATCTAATTAAAATTTGAATTCAAAATTTATTTTTTAAAAGGTTTGGCCGGCGATCTACGTCCTGACCTTGAAATTCAACCCTTTTGTAAATTAACGCTTACATCCACAAAGAAACAACAATCCCAACAACAACAAAGTGTTGTTAAAAGAGGGAGAGATTCTGTTTTTAATCAAGTAAATTTTTTGTTTGAATTTTATTTATAGAATTACAGACCTCCCTATAAGATACCCCCAACATTGGATAAACCTCAATTTAAGATACCTAATCCTTTTTTAAATTTGGTTGGTCGTTAGATGGGAATGGGAGCTTTCTAAGCGATGCCCTCTATTTAATATACAACTCCTTATAGGGTACTCCCACTATTAGATACACCTCTGTTTAAGGTACGCTTATTAAGAGGCTTAGATATTGGAGGAAGGAGCTTTCTAAACGATACCCTCTATTTAACATACAGCTCATTATAAGGGACAATTTTTTGGTTCCAGAGGTATATACTGTAGTGAGGTCGGAGTTTGTTCAATAAAATACCAATTTAGAAAAATTATTTATTAAAGGAATTCTTCTTCGATAATTTCGCAACAGAAGAGATTGAACTAAAACAATTACAAATTGAAGTATGCCACAGCAGTAATCAAAAATTGCAAAGAGATTTGGATATTGGGGAGGTTCGAATTCCATTGAGAGACTTAGCTCCACAACTACAAACAAAAAAGGAAGTGAGAATTGTGGAAGAACTAAAGTTTTTTATTGCTGCAAAGAAGGTGATTTTTTAATAAATGTAACAACTAAAATTAATTATAACTAAAAATCAAAATTAAAAACGGAGTGATTCACTATAAAACTTAATTAAACGTTTAGGTAAACTTGGGCGTTACTCTATAAGACTTTAATTTAGGATAAACGTTTTTTAATACGGCTGACCTCTGGGAGTTTGGGAGGCGCTAAAGTGATACCCCCTATTTAATGTACACCTCATTATAAGCGACATTTTTGTATTAGAGGATACAGACTGTCTACTAGGGATGGGTAGGGTTACTCGATATGCAAAACTCGAAGCCTTGGCATTTTTATATCCGAAACACGAAATCCGATTCAACTTTTCTCCTCACTCAGAACCTTTCCTAATACATATTACCCTTTAATTTTTATAATTTTCAAATTAGTTGGGCAAGCTACACATAACAACATGCATTGAAAAAGCCGACAGAAGATTAACTATAAATTTAATAAAAGTTGAAGACCTTCCAAAATGGGGAATTATAGGAGCCCCCGACGTCCAAATCCGTATAAGAATGCAACAGGCTAACGGCCCAGAAGTTGTAAAATGTTCAAGAATTATTAAAAATACAACATCAGCAGTCTATAAAGAAGCTGTAATGTTTTTGGTTAGTACTAGAGAAGCTGATTTGGCTAGAACTAAAATTACAATTTCTGTTCATGATTTGTCTCGGTGATTTTTAAATTAGAATTTTATGAAAATATCTATAGGATTTTAAGAAAAAAATTTTTTAGGGAAAAAATTTTTTGCGGACTTTTTTAATTTTTGCGGACATTTTTGAAAAATTCATAAAACACTTGTTTTTTGAAAAACATTTTGAGGATAAATTTTTGATGACTTTTTTCTGAATGTTGCTGCCTTGTTTGGAATTTCTTAAAAATTTCCGTTGGATTTTAAGAAAAAAATTTTTTAGAGAAAATTTTTTTGCGGACATTTTTTGCGGACTTTTTTAATTGTTGCGGACATTCTTGAAAAATTTAAGAAACACTCGTTTTTTTGAAAAATATTTTGAGGAAAAATTTTTGCTGGCTTTTTTCTGGAGGTTGCTGTATTGCTGCCCTTCTACACCTATAATTTTTAGTCAAGGAATGATTTTAAAAATATCCACAAAACTCGCAAAAACCGCAGCCTTCTTTACATACCAAAAATATATTTAAAATAATTTTTTCATTAACTTATTTTTCCAGCTCCGTTACCGGCAATGATACAATCGGTTTTGTATTTCTTGGAGAACTGGCTTCGGATAAATCGGAAGTGGATCAATGGAAATCTACCATGGACCATTGGGGTAACCCGAAAATTCTTTAAAAAAATTAAAAAAAAATTTTCTTTAAAGGGAAAGAATACAAAGCCGTCCATACTCTAAAATGCCCCTCAAGTAGGTGTCAACCAACTCTACATGTATTGGATGTACAGGACGAAAATGATGTTAAGGAGAATGATGATTAATTTAATTATGTGCCCAATTAAAACAAATTTTTTATTTAAATTTTGTTGCCACTCCTTTTTGCTTTTTTTATTTTTGATGCTTTTCATTCTTAAAATATTGTCAAATTTATTTTTATATATTTAATAATTTTAATTAAAAAAAATTTTTTTTTGATTATTAGGGTGAGTCAAAAGTTCACGGTCACTTTGATTTAAAAAATAAACAAAAATAGCATTATTATGATCTATATATCAATCAAAAGCTCGATCAAAATTTAGTTTGACATGTTTGAGCGTTTTTCTCAAAAATCAAGATTCGTCAAGCTTTTAGGGATATTTGAGATTAAATTTCTAGAACGTTTTAGCTATCTTAGAGAGTTCGATTTTTCCCGCTATTAGAAACCTATAAAACAAAGGTGACCTTATAATTATGGAACACTTTAAATTTCATTTTTTGGTCATAAAAATTTTTTTTCAAATGTATAAGTACTACAAATTTGATCTATTTAGAGAAGATTTTAAATAGAAAAATATAAATTATGTAAAAATTTCAAAAAAATTTGATACTTTTTCAATGAGATATGATAAAAAATAGGGGTGACCTTATAATTTTGGAACAGAGCGTATGCGTAGTAATCAAAGAACAATAAGTGAGAGACAATTAATAATTTATTTTAAAGAAATTTGTAAAAATAAGTTGATGGAAAAGAATTTTCTCAATAAAAATTTGCTAATTAAAGACGAGTTAAAAGCGGCACATGCTTGATGTATTCTTAGAAGGAAAGGTTTAAAAATAAGCCGTTTTTGTAATTCCTTTTAAAACGTTTTTGACCTGTCCTTAATAAGCAACTATTTCAGGAAAGTCTAAATTCTAGTAAGGAAGATATAAATATATCGTGTATATGAATAAGAAAAATATTTTTATAAGTAAATCCAAACATTACACTATCAATATTTAATTTCCGCTTACTTTTTAATTTACTTTCGCAATTTCGCCTTTTAAACTCTGTTTCGGCACATCCATGATTTATGCTTAAACTAACATTTATTCCAATTTAACACTACTTATTATAGTGAAATGGCATGCCATCAAAACTTTCCAATGAGATAAATTGTCATAATAAAACTGATTATACAGAGCTCTAGCCCAAGTAAGGAGAAGAGTGATGCCAATACCCCTTTCAGATAGTCTAATTTTAATTACTTAAAAAATAAAAATAACTTTTGATTGTTGCTTTGGTTCCGCTCTCATCAACAGCATATTCTTTTTTCACAGGAAGACGCAATTTATTGATAAATGTAATCAAATTCCCCTCGTATTTAACAACTGCAGCTTCCAATTCTTTTGTCTTCTCGTTAATTTCTTCACATCCTTGCAATTTCCCAGTACCATTTTTAATTACTTCAATTGCTTCCTTTATTTGTTTTAAGGCCTAAAATGAGAGTTAAAAAGAGGGAAATTTAAAGAATAACCGCAGTCGTTTCAGCCGTTGTTGCAATTTTAATATACGACATGGGGAAAGAAAATATTATTTTTTGGTTGTAAAAGAAAGTATCTGAATTAGGTATAAATATAAGAAAATTTGGATATAATGTTAAAGGATTAAAAAAAACCCCTAAGGATTGACTTATTAGCAGAAATAGAGGAAATTTGGCATATGTTTCTTCAAAAAATTCTAAAATTTTGCCTGCGGCGTTTAAAAAAAGTTAAAAAAAGGCTTTTTGGCCTTCTAAATTTAAAAATTTTCGACTCCAGCACTGAAATGATAAATTATTATTAAGATTTTCTGAAGGTTGTTCCGGAATTTATTTTTAACTACTAAAACCGAACCGGAATGATTCGGAAAAATCAGGCCGGATCTGGTATGCCATGAGTTTGAAATTTAAAATCCCGTTTCCGTGTGAAATCCCGTTTTTTGAAGGGACATATGCGAAATTTCCTCTATTTCTGCTAATAAGTCAATCCTTAGGGGTTTTTTTTTAATCCTTTAACATTATATCCAAATTTTCTTATATTTATACCTAATTCAGATACTTTCTTTTACAACCAAAAAATAATATTTTCTTTCCCCATGTCGTATATTAAAATTGCAACAACGGCTGAAACGACTGCGGTTATTCCTTAAATTTCCCTCTTTTTAACTCTCATTTTAGGCCTTAAAACAAATAAAGGAAGCAATTGAAGTAATTAAAAATGGTACTGGGAAATTGCAAGGATGTGAAGAAATTAACGAGAAGACAAAAGAATTGGAAGCTGCAGTTGTTAAATACGAGGGGAATTTGATTACATTTATCAATAAATTGCGTCTTCCTGTGAAAAAAGAATATGCTGTTGATGAGAGCGGAACCAAAGCAACAATCAAAAGTTATTTTTATTTTTTAAGTAATTAAAATTAGACTATCTGAAAGGGGTATTGGCATCACTCTTCTCCTTACTTGGGCTAGAGCTCTGTATAATCAGTTTTATTATGACAATTTATCTCATTGGAAAGTTTTGATGGCATGCCATTTCACTATAATAAGTAGTGTTAAATTGGAATAAATGTTAGTTTAAGCATAAATCATGGATGTGCCGAAACAGAGTTTAAAAGGCGAAATTGCGAAAGTAAATTAAAAAGTAAGCGGAAATTAAATATTGATAGTGTAATGTTTGGATTTACTTATAAAAATATTTTTCTTATTCATATACACGATATATTTATATCTTCCTTACTAGAATTTAGACTTTCCTAAAATAGTTGCTTATTAAGGACGAGTTAAAAACATTTTAAAAGGAACCATTTGGAAATGAGGCAACGTCTACCCTAATATTTAAGTTCCCTTCTACGTCCTTTCTAAAGGAAGTTGTGTCTAATTTAGTGCCCTTTTAACTCCTCGTAATTAAGAAATAATAATAAAAATATATTATCACCTTTACATTGTTATATTAATGTTTTCTTTTCCATATTTGACCTTTTGTTAAAGGAGACGCACATACTTAGTGGTAATAGTTGACGTAAATATTCATCTCCTTCCTCTTCATTATCCTCATCATCTGAACATTTTCTCCACGAACTAAATTTGAGTAGAGTGGTAAAACACCAGAATGAGAAATATGGCGAAAGAATTGAAGTGGAGGCTAAAAAATAATAAATTTAAGATTGAAAAATCTACTGTCAAATAATTAATTCACAAATCCGATAGGATTGTATAGGGAAATAAATGTATGTGTTACAGGGATGTCACGGGTTACACGAAACCCTGTCTTTTTTTCGACCCGAAACCCGATCCGAAGAACATTTTTAAAACGACCCGAAACCCGAACATCATGACTAGAGACCTGGATCGTCCAAAAATAGAAATCACTATCTTAAAATGTCTCAGTACTCAAAAGGGTTAAAGAAGTATCGATGGATCTTTCAATCCCCTCAAATCCTGATATCGTCTTAAATACCCACACACTCCTAGTCTCCAGATATCATATTAATCCACCAAATCCTCTTAATAGAGACTCGTTCTGTTCAAGTCTGAATCTCTAATCTGATCATAGCGGAACCGAAAGTCAACTCAAAATTGAAAATGCAGAAACGACTACAAATTTAGTCATATTTTTCAGTCCCAATGAAGGTATCTTATAACGAGGTCCGTCCGATAACCCCAGACAAAAAGAATTAATAAAAAATAAATTTTCTCACCAATTTAGTATTGGCAGCATTAGAATTCGACCTAACATTAACTATAGATGTTGAAGATCCTCCGCCGCCACCTTCTAGTCTTAGGAAGACAATAATATCATCACAAAGTAATAAACGAACTTTAAAAAAGACATTTTTAAGAAAAAAAATTTTTCTGTTTTACGTTCAAGTTCAGGTCCATTCATTGTTTCACGCCAAAAAGCACGTGTTATTAATAAAATTTGCCGTCTTCCAATAGTTTTTGTTGAATTAGTTAAAGTTATTGTTGAGTCATTTTTAACAGGCCAAAACAAATTGTCAAAAGAAAAGTCAATTCTATCCTTTGGGTGAATCTAGTGAAAAAATTTTTTAAGATAATAAAAGCTTAAGAAGGTTAATCCCTCAGTTCTTCTAAACAAGAGAGAGGGCCTATACCAGGATTTTATTTTAATAAGAAACTCAAATCGAGAAACTTTCGAAAACCCCGACTCGACGTAGTTCTTAAGCTGACCTATCCTTTCCTCAAAGGTCAAAAAAGGCGAAATTTCGAAGCAATACTCTCAATTGCTAGGCTGTGGCCTCGGAGCTTGCTCCTGTTTCGGAGTAGGAGTATCACCGACATCTCAAAAATCGAAACAGTTCTGCAATACCTAATAGAGCAACTACTCGATCAGTTAGGGAGGTTTTAAAGTGTTTATGAATAAAATTCTATCGGTTCTTTTGGCCGGTCTTAAGAGGGAGGAAAAATCCCCGTTTGGCTTAAAATCCCGTTTGCCTCTTTGCTAGCCTAGCAATAAAAAATAATGCCTGAGTCTAAATTTTATTAAAAAAATAAAAACCTGTTCCACCAAAACAGGATATTTTGTTAATCTTTGGGCAACCAATAACATACAATCGCTAAGTGAACGATCTTTATGTTGTCCCTCGTAATATTCCATAAATTTACGAAAATGTATATTTTGAGCAATTAAAGTAGAATATTGTTTTGCACTATCTTCTCGGCCAAGACAAAAGGCAGTATATGAATTTATTGCATTAGTACTAAAAAATTAATTTTAAAATCGGCCCTCAGTATAAGACAACCTCTTAGGGTAGATTCCTTATAATAAGGGTATCTTAAATAGAGGTTATCGCCTAGGCAGCAAGGATAGGCTGAGAAAAGAATTGAGGCCTCCGTTTATACAAAATGATGTGATACGGGAGAAAATTACAGATTACAGAAGTTTTGGACAAAATGTCATTTATATGGACACAACGCCAAACAATTAAATTGAAGTTAATTCTTTTAAATTTTCAAAATTTTGGGTTGCCGATGTTGTAGGTCTATATCTTGACTAAAAATCGTCAGCTCCAAATTTTATTCTTTGAGATTCTAGTGTAAAGCATATAGCTATTTAATTCCTAAGGCTGTGCAGTAGGCGGGGTGGTGTAATGGATAACACACCAGTCCGGTCTACTGAAGATGCTAGTTCGCTCCCAGCCGCCGATTAGCCTTTCGCACTAGGTAAAAGAGAGAAATAGCTATAGCCCAGCTGCTTTACTCTAGAGAAAACTTTGATTAATATTTTAATGTCAGATTTCTAAAAAAAATTTTTTTTAATGAAATTCCCCTTTGCATTTTTTCCTTGTTAAGTGCAACCGTTGTTATTCACGTGAAAACACATTATAAAATATTTCATTGAAAAAACTGAAAGGAATGGGCATTTATTTCATAAATATGATTTAATTTTGTTGGAGATGTAAGACTCAAATGACCTAAATTCAAAAATACATAATTGACACTTTGACATTTCCTTCCCGCCCATTTATTTTGTCTATTTAAGCATTTCCTTATTCCCCCAATTTTGTCTGTTCTTAGTTCAGTCTGTTCTTTCTCATTCATTCATTCAGTGACGCAGTCACAATTTAAATTGTATTTTATTTGAAAATAATAAATTCTTTATTATTATTTATTTTGTTTGTATTATCGGGTGTCTAATACACAACACTGGCGCGGTCTAAAACCTTTTAGAGTGAATTAAAAAGAATTTTGGATTCGACAAATTCTTTATTTGACTGCTATTTATTCTTATTCAACAAATTTTATTTTATTTGACTACAAGTCAACTTTGCTTGACATCAATTTTATTGGATTTTCGACTTTGGCTTTGGTCGAAAGGGAAATTTTGTTTGGACTTCAAAAACAAATTTTTTTTTGCGTTCGTCAGATCCGAACGCCGATTCTGCAGGTTTATTTTTGATTTTAAAAGAATTTCTTCAGTTGCCCCCGTACAAATCAATAATTTGGCGTCGCTTCTACACGCCACTACAAAAAAATTAATAAACAAGCTAGGCGCTTGTTTGTCTTCTGATTCAAAAGGACTCACGAGCTAAGCGCTAGTGATAAAACAGCTAGGCGCTGGTCCTGTTATTCCTACTAAAGCCCTACTTATTTCTGCTCCTCTACACCTATTCCTAGGCGGAAAAGGAAGCGGCTAGGCGCCGTCGGAGCTTATTCTTCAATCCAAATTCGATTGATTATTGATTATGGCGACTTTTACTGCTGCACAAGTTCAGCAACTGCTTAACTCATTCCAAGAGTTAACAACTCGACTAGGCGTCGGTTCAACAGGCACACCTCCAAATCCAAATGATGTTAGTGCTAGCGCTGCTACACTTGCCGCCTCCCTTGATTCAAGAATCGGAAAATTCAATTACGATTCTGAGGCCGGCCTGACATTCGACAATTGGTATAAGCGGTACAGCAATTTCTTCCTCGAAGACGGAAAAAGTCTTCCGGATGCTGCCAAAATGCGCTTACTTATGGGAAAATTAGGTGATTGTGAATATGCACTGTTCAGCAACGCCATTCTCCCGACACTGCCTGACAACATGACCTTCGCCAACGGTATTGCTAAATTAAAAGAATTATTCGGGGACTCTCGTTCATTATTCGTCCGCCGATATGAATGCTTCAAAATGGTTCAACATCCAGGTCAAGACATTTCTTCATTCATCGCAGAAGTTAATGCTGCCTGCGAAACTGCAGATCTGACTTTAAGTAAAGAAACACTTAAATGTTTGATCATGGTCGTTGGCTTACGAAATGAATACCACGACCTTCGTCAAAAATGTCTGCAATTATTAGAAGAAGCTCGTCGCAAGAACGAAGCTCTCACTCTTGAAAAGCTTGGAGAAGAATGTAGATCCTACCTACTGATTCGCGAGAGTGCAAACTCGCTTGCTGTTGCTAATACAGGTTCTTCCTCTACAAATGCAATCCATACAAAGCCTCAGCAATGGCGTGAAAAGCAAAAGAAAGGCAAACCTCATCTTCAAGGGGGTAGAAAAATTCTGCAAAATTCGCCAATTAAAAGCAATTCAAAGCCTAACGAGGACAGGCAATGCTATTCATGTGGTAGATCAGACCACTGGCGAAAAGATTGTCGACATCGGAATTCAAAATGCGACAATTGTGGTAAAATAGGCCACATTGCAAAGATTTGCAAAAGCCAGAAATCCAGCACAAATGTTCGACGCATTCAAACAATTACAGCTTCAAAGTATTGTTTGACTCTGAATGCTCAAGGCCCGGAATGGTACACTATTTCCGTGGATATTAATGGCAAAGAGATTGAAATGAAACTGGACACTGCTTCACAAATTTCAATCTTCACTGAAAATACCTGGAAGAAGCTAGGTAAACCACAACTTCAAGAGGCCAATCTGCAAGTTAAAAACTGCAATGATATTTCTTTCGAAACTAGTGGAATGTTCGAATGTTTAGTCAGTTACAAATCCAAACCAAAGACGCTGATCGGCTATGTAAGTAAATCGATAGTACACGATCTGCTAGGTATTCCATGGATTGAAGAGCTAAACATCTTTCCACGTGAAATATCTTCTGAATGGATTTCCAAAGAAAGGAGCATAGCAGAAATCAAAAAGGAATCTTCAATCGACGCTGAGCGTGAAGAGAGCCTGAAGAAGGAATTGAAAAGAAAATTTCCAAAAGTCTTCGATTCAAAGCTAGGCTTTTGCACCAAAACGAAAGCTCATCTTTTTCTGAAACCAGAGGCTCGTCCTATATTCTGCAAAGCTAGACCAGTACCACATGGCGCACTTCAAGCCGTCAATGAAGAACTGGATCGTCTATTAGAAATCGGTGCAATTAAACCGATCGAATTCAGTCACTGGGCTGCTCCAATTCTTGCTGTCAAAAAGAAAAGTGGAAAAACACGAGTCTGCATTGATTTTTCCACAGGCCTTAATAATGCTTTGGAATTGAATCGACACCCACTTCCTAGGCCAGATGATATTTACGCATCATTGCGGGGAGCACGTTTCTTCAGCCAATTAGATTTAAAAGATGCTTACTTACAAATCGAATTGGACAATGAATCAAAACGATTGTGTGGGATTAACACACATCGAGGCCTAATGCAATGCCAACGCCTTCCTTTCGGTGTTAAATCGGCTCCGTCAATATTTCAGCATTTGATGGACCAAGTTCTTACAGGCATCAACGGTGCTTTCTGCTATTTGGATGACGTAATCATTGCTAGTCGATCCATCAAAGAGCACAATGAAATTCTGCGAAAAGTATTTACAAAAATTCAAGATTTTGGTTTAAAGATTCAACCAGAAAAGTGCAAATTCCTGCAGTCCGAGATAAAATTCTTAGGACATGTGATTACTTCAAAAGGCATTAGTCCAGATCCGAAGAGATCTGAAGCAATTCACAAAATGCCTGCGCCACACGACATTTCATCGTTACGTTCATTTCTCGGTGCACTTAATTATTACGGCAAATTCATCAAAACAATGCGTGAAATTCGAGCACCATTGGATGAACTCCTTCGTAAAGATGTAGAATGGGCTTGGACAGAAAAACAGCAAAAAGCTTTTGAGAAAGCTAAAGAAATTCTTCTGTCTGATCTTCTTCTAACCCACTACGATCCTTCTTTACCCATTATTGTTGCCGCTGATGCATCCAAAGATGGAATAGGCGCTGTAATTAGCCATACATTTCCGGACGGTACGGAAAATGCAGTAGAACATTCGGCTATTACCTTCACACCTGCGCAGCGAAACTACAGCCAAATTGAGAAAGAGGCTCTTGCACTTGTATTCGCCGTTCAAAAATTTCATAAAATGATTTATGGTCGACGATTCACACTGCTGACAGACCATAAACCTCTACTGGCCATCTTCGGTTCAAAGACCGGTATTCCTATTTATTCTGCAAATCGTCTACAAAGATGGGCCATCATTCTTTCAAACTATGATTTTGAAATTAAATACATCAAAACCAATGACTTCGGAAAGGCAGACGTACTTTCTCGTCTAATTGCTAATTACCCAAAACCCGACGAAGACGTACTAATCGCCAACATTTGCTCAAGTACCGAATGCTTCGTAAATTCTACTTTGGGAACACAAATACAGCCTTTACCTGTTACAGCCGAAGATATTGCGAAACACACGGCAGAAGACGAAGTTCTGCAAAAACTGGTTTTGAAAATTAAAGAAGATTGGAATAACTGCAAAGACATGCAACTTCAACCCTATTTCCCTAAAAGACAAGAAATAACGGAAATAGAGGGATGTCTCGTTTACGGCAATCGAACTATTATTCCAGTGAAACTGCGAAATTCTATCCTAAAAGCACTTCACTTGGCACATCCTGGAGTAGTTAAGATGAAAGCCATAGCGAAAGAGCACGTCTATTGGCCACAGATAGACTCCGACATTGAAAAGACAGTTCGTCAATGCCAAGAATGTCAAGAAGCTGCTAAACTACCAATTAAAACTACATTGACACCATGGAAAACACCTGAAGAAGTTTTTCATCGAGTCCACATAGATTTTGCAGGACCATGTCAAGACGGCCACACTTACCTACTTTTGGTAGATGCTTATTCCAAATGGCCAGAAGTATACTGCATGCCCAACATTTCAGCTAAAAATACAGTTGAGGCACTTCGAAATCTCGTATACAGATTAGGATGTCCTAAAGAAATTGTTTCCGACAATGGAACACAATTCCGTTCTTCCGAATTAGCTAGATTCTGCAAAGAATATGGAATTAAGCAAACATTTACTCCTCCATTCCATCCTCAGTCAAATGGACAAGTAGAAATATTTGTCGACACGTTCAAGAGAGGAATGAAGAAGGGTAAAGGAGATAAATTATGGTGCGAAAAGATGCTTTTAGCATATCGATCAACACCACATTCTGCTTTACAAGGACATTCACCAGACCAACTATTCCTGGGAAGAAAATTGAGAACTCAATTAACTTTAGTTCACCCTGCTGAACAGAAGAAAATTCCAGTCGAGAAGAGACATAGAGAGGAATACACCAAGAAAATGGCAAACCAATTCAACCAGAAACATGGAGCCAAAAATTCTTCATTCGCTCCAAAAGACCCAGTTTATCTGCTAAACTATCGTCAAAACAAAATTCATTGGTTGCCAGGAACAATCATAGAGAAAGTAGGAAATTCTCCGACCTACAGAGTATCAGTTCCATCTCTAGGACGAGACGTCCATAGACATGCGAATCAACTCCGACGAAGATTCATGTCAGATGACATTGATCGTTCCGTTCACATTCCTCCACATCAGTCTCAAGGTTCTCCGAGGCAAAAGGAAATGCACCAACCAGAGAAAGAGAAGATATCTAGGCGATATCCCTCTCGTCAACGAATCCAAAGGAAAATTCTGGACCCGGACCCGAGCAAGACACAATATGAATTCAATCCGGTGGGAGCATCATCTTAAAAAGGGAGATGTTGGAGATGTAAGACTCAAATGACCTAAATTCAAAAATACATAATTGACACTTTGACATTTCCTTCCCGCCCATTTATTTTGTCTATTTAAGCATTTCCTTATTCCCCCAATTTTGTCTGTTCTTAGTTCAGTCTGTTCTTTCTCATTCATTCATTCAGTGACGCAGTCACAATTTAAATTGTATTTTATTTGAAAATAATAAATTCTTTATTATTATTTATTTTGTTTGTATTATCGGGTGTCTAATACACAACAAATTTTAATTAAATTTCATAAGGGTTATTTAATTTTAAAATTTGTTTTTTTTGTCTGTCAACTTGCACTTTTATTAAAGAATTTTACTTTAAAAGCCAGCGAAAAGCGAGTTTATTCAAAAAATAAAAATTTTATTCGAAAATTTCCAAACCCTCCATTTTTTAAAAATGAGCCTGTCATCTTTTACCATGACAGCGATTTTTCTAGAGGCTATTGTGTTTCTCTATGATCGTCAAATTGCTGGAATGGTTTCAATGCATCCAGGTAATTATTGTAAGGAAGAGAAAGATCCAGCTGGCTCATTAGGCTGCTGCTCACTAGGCGTGGTTTAAGATCTATTAAAAGAGAAGGCGAAAGCAGCGTCCTGGTAGCTCAGTAGTAGAGCACCTGTACGTGGTGAGCGAAGGCGCCTAGCAATAACTGAATTAAGGTCGCAGGATCGAAGCCTACCCGTGATTAAACTTACCTCGCTCTTTTATTTTAAAAATTTTGGCTCTGGTCTAGTTTATGCGTCCGTTGAACATTTATCAGTCCAATGAAAATCTATGAGTCCAATATAAACGAGTTCAATGGAGGTTTTTACCGATTCGGCGGAGTAGGTACATTCAAAATCACTTATACCTTTCTTATTTTTCTAATCATTTTTTAAAGCTTTTTCCCTCTTTTTAGCTTTTACTAACATGTTAGCGTACATCCTCACTTACAGAAACAGGACTCATAGACTTTCAAAAGGCTTACAAAGCTTCATTGGACATAAAGGTTTATTGGACGCTCAATCAGGGCAGAGCCAACATTTTTAGTACTTATCCGTTACACACCCACAAACTTATCGGGTTGCTTTTTTTAATACTTTAAAGACTAAAGGATAAATTTTAATTAATTTTCTTTTATTTAAAAGGTTGTTCTGGACGTTTTTCAGCTATTGAAAATAAGCTAAAAATGAGCGGAGGTGGGGATGGCTTTAAGCAATTAAAACCGGAACGTGTTTCATTCCCTTTTTCTTGCTTTAAGCCTCCAAAAAATCTCAAAGCCTCGAATTATAAAACCCAAGAATCTCTTAAAAATGATAAAGAAAAGGATCTCGATCAAAACGATCAGCAAGGGATAGAAGAGATTGGAATGGAAAATAATAAAATTGAAAATGAAATTGAAATGTTTGACGGTTATGAAATAAAACATATTTTCGATGGAAAGGCAGATATAGAATTTAATAAAGACAATAAACAATTAATTGAAGTAATTTTATATTTTAAATATCCCCATACTTAATCGAATAAGTACCCTGGGTATTTTTAAACGTACGCGGGAGAAGAGGTCGATGGATGGTAATTTGAATCTCGATGGATGCTAATTTGGATAATTTAAGGCTTGGCAATAACTTTGCAACACTGTAGAAGGAATAAACTTTAAGTGCTTCTTATTTATGAATTGAGGAATAGATTTGATATGTATTGGGGTTGAGCCGGGTTATCCGAACCCCGACCCTACTTTTTTATCAACCCAACCCTTATATGTATGTATTCCGTCAGGTGCGCTGATCAAGTATGGTCTGCTAGGAATCGGTCGAACGCTTGATCGGGCATTAGACTGATCGAACACATACAAGGACACAGAAAGCCACCTGATTTCCTCTTTGTCCAAATCTTTAACCAACTGACTCATGCCTCACTAACTCCTTTTACCTACTTTCCTTTGGATTTTATAGTCAGCCCTATGGACTGGAACACATTCAGCTTTCCATGAATTAGTCTAACATAACTAATGTTAGAATCAACTACATAAGGGGTAGGTAATTGAGAGAAGTAACTAATCAAGAGGGGATAAAAATTAAAAAATTTTGAACAATAATCAACCAGTTTTCTTTAATTTTGCCTAAAATACGGTAATTATATTTTTATCTTCCCATTTATCAGATTGCTAGAATGGTCAAGAATTATTGTCAAGAGGACTCTTTGAGATCCTTCAAAATGTATGGTGTCGATTATCAAGTTGCTGTTAACAGAAACTTGCTAAAAGTTGCCCAATTTTTGGTTTATTCAAGTGGAGAAGATTGTTTAGATAGCCAAAACTGTCTGGTGCTTAGTAGATCCATTTGTGATTTACTAACGGCACTTCATGAATGTTACCGTATTGCTGCACGGATACCTCATGTTTTTGAAGTTGAAATGGTTTTAAAGAAACTTGAAGAGGATGGGGAGGAAGAAAATGTAGCAAATTTAAGCAAGTACACTAATAGTGATTTTCTACCAGTTTTCCGTAATTTACTTGATATAACGGTAAATATTTAATTTTGGAAAAAATTAGAATTGAAAATTTTCTGTCAGTAAAGCAGCTGGTATATAGCTATTTCTCTCCTTTAGGTAGTGCAAAACAGGGCTGTGCGCCAAAATTTTCGCGTGGCGCGCCAAACGCCAAACGCCAATTTTTCAAATTCTTAAAACACGCCAAACGCCAGAACGCCAAAATCGGCCAAAAATGGACGCCAAAACGCCAAAACGCAACGCCAAAACGCCAAAATTTTCAGAATGTATATAGGCCCAAAAACCATATAAATTTTCGCATTTTAGCGCCGCAGGCAAAAATTTTAGATGTCCAGGAGCCAAAATTCATTCTTTATTAGCTCGGAAAGCAAAAATAATGGCAATTCCTGATCGGGGGAGCAATATATGTTCGGAAATATAATAGGATCTGGAGGAGAGTTAAAACAGATTTTAGATTATTAAAGCATTTGAGGATATAAGGGGATGATATAATGGAATTTCTGATGATATAATGGAATTTCGAGGAATTGAGGGAAATCCGGGAGGAAAATCAATTATGATATTTCATCGGGATTAAGATAGATATTGGACCATTTGAGTGAATTATGCTGGATTCTGAGTGTCTCGGGATAAGACATATCGGGATTGTGATTTAAAAGAGCGGGATAATCCCGCTCGATCTCGTCGCGATATCCGCCAGCTTTGGTTTAAATGATAACGGGATCAAAGAGTAACTTGGAAAGATTAAGAGAATTTAAAGGATATATGGGTTAAAGAAAAGAGCAGGTATATCGGGGAGATCAGTTTATTTAATAGATATCCGTACTATCCAAATTTTGGTTCCAGTTATGGAGCCGAAGCATCATAGTGATATTTAGAGCTTCTACTAGGAGGCCATGAACCTAACTACTTGGAGGCCATGAACCTAAATTTCTTCTGTTTTAAGCGCCGCAGGCGAAAATTTTTAAAATCTAGGAAGGCTGTAGTCAGAAAAATTTCATTTCAATTCAATTCAATTCAATTTATACGCATAAAAACGTGACATTCAGATAAAATAAATAAAAATGTATCAATTGTTTTATATAAGGTCTGGAGGCAATTGAATGGAAAGTGGCTTTGATAAAACATTGTTTAAGTTAATATTGTTTAGGAGCTTTGGAAACAATTCGATTGACGATTTTTGTAATTCTGTTGGGAGTTTTCTGTAAATGTTTGGGATGTCTATAAAGAATGAGTTTTTCCGAATGGTGCTTGAACAAAAGGGTATAAATAAATTATGCGGGTTACCTCTAGTAGTGGTAGGGAGAATGCTGAATGAATTATCATGTTTTAATTTAATTTTGCCTGAGATAATATTATGGAAAAGGATAAGATTTGATTTTAAACGTCTGTGCGATAGAGATTCAAGTTTAAACAGGTCAAGGAGTTCTTTATAATTAGGTAATGTTGGGCTGTTATTGTGTTTCATAGAGCGTAAGTATAATATTTTTAAGAATTTATGTTGAACATTTTCTAAAGAGTTTATATCTTTATTTAAATAAGGGTTAATTATAGGAGATCCGAATTCGAGGATAGGTAAGACGTATATTTTGAATAAAGTAGTTAGGAATTGAGTGTTATTAGTTTTAAGAGATTTTATAAGAGTATAATAAATTCCAGTTGCTTTATTTGTTATTATTTTAATGTGAGAATCCCATTTTAAGTTTGATGTAAAATAAATGCCTAGATCACGAATAGGTTCGTTGGGTGGAATGATTGGTATATTTATGTTTTGTAGAGAGTATTGGTGGAAGGGATTTTTAGTTCCTATGTGGAGTGAGCTACATTTGCTGATAGCGATTTTAAGGCCATTTATTTCGCAGTATTTTGAGAATTTTTGGATAAATGTTTGGAGTGGAGAATAGTGGTTTTTATTTGGAAAATCAAAGCAGGTATAGGCCTTTAAATCGTCAGCAAATAATTTGGGTGTAACATTATCTGTCTTACAGAAATCTATTATATCAAATATATATGAGATGAATAAAATAGGGCCGAGGATTGATCCTTGAGGAACTCCACTTGTTATATGATATTCATTAGAATTTTCAGATTCGACAAGAACAGAAAGAGTTCGGTCTATTAAATAATCGTCAATCCAATTTAGTAATGCGCCAGTGATACCTAGATGATATAGTTTTTTCAGAAGGCGATCCCTCTTCCAATTTATTCAAGAAATCTCAATCATTAGGGGTGTAAAATTTTGGCGTTTTGGCGCGCCAAAATCGTAAAAACACGCCAAACGCCAGAACGCCAAAATCGGCCAAAAATGGACGCCAAACGCCAAAACGCCACGCCAAAACGCCATGGCGCACAGCCCTGGTGCAAAAGGTTAATCGGCGGCTGGGAGCAAACTAGCAACTACAGTAGACCGGACTGGGCCCGTACTATAAGAACGTGGTTTGTGATCATTTAATCGGTTACCAGAGGTCACTGCTCGGTAAGGGTTTAATGAACTGGGACCAGATTCTTATAGTACCAAATCTACGACTCGTCCTTATAGTACGGGCCCTGATGTGTTAGCCAATACACCACGACGTCTACTGTACAGCCTTAGGAATTAAATAGCTTTATGCTTACATTTTTAACTCTTATTTTAAGGAACCAACTGATTCGGTAGATGAAAAGATTGAAAATCTGAAAAAAATAATACACAAAGCGGACAATTTTATAGATGAAAATTATCATGTTTTTACCAAAATTGGAAAAGAAAAATTTCTTAATGAAATTGCTTCTCGAATAGAAACGTCAGACATGGGTTAGTTGTTAACGGTTAGCCACTCGAAATTTGCGGACCATCACTTGTTTACTGCGTGTCCGTAATTTCGTCAATGCCAGTTTTCGCAGGGTTAGGTAGTTTTATTAGAGGTCCTTTTCGTCAGAGGTTCTTTTCGACAGTAAGGCTCCCTTTTTAACAATCAACTTAAACTGAGGTATTGTGACTTATACCAGGACATATCAGGCTGTTGAATCCGCAAATGTCGGTCCGCAAGTGCTATTTAATCGTTCGCCATAAAAGCTTATATACCTAATGACTAGGGTTGTCGGTTTCAAACAGGACCGAACCGAACCGAAAACCTGAAGATTAAGAGTTCGGTTTATAGATTGGGTTAACCGAAATTTTCGGTTCCGATACCGCCCAACTACTCTCTAGATCGTCTGTCCAATGCCCAAGCGTTTAACATATCTTCTAAGAAGTATTTTAATGTTTTTCAGTTTTGGCAAGTATCAAAAAGATCCTCAATATGCATAATTTCCATCATCTCTACTATCGTCAAATAAGCTTAACTAAATTTAAAGAGAATGAAATAATAAAAAAATCAAAATATCTTCAAAAACTTTTGGAGATTAGATTGCCAAGAGGTGAATTGCATGCAGCTTACAAAGTGGATAAACGTTTAACAAGAAAGGATAAACAATTACTAGCAGTTGTGGAACTAACTGAATCCCTAATAAAATTAAATAAGGATGAACTTGAAGATGTTCCAAAGCATTTTAAAAATGCTGCTGATTTACTCATGGCATTTCATGAAATTTATCAAATTACTGCATTGATACCTATAGTTTTTGAAATTGAATTGGTTTTAAAAAAACTTGAAGAGGACGGGGAAGAAGGAAATGCCAAAAAATTGCTCGAGTTTGTATTGCCTAGTGATTTTAAAGGAGCTTTTTGGGGAGTGCTTGGTATACAGGTACTACAGTATATTTTGAAATATTTGCCCTCTCACTAGGGTTGTACCCCGAACGCTCGGGGGCGGGTATGTCGGGGTACGGGGTTTTCCAATTGTTTCGGGGCGGGGTTCGGGTCGGGGGAGCAAAATATGGCCGGGGTTCGGGTCGGGGTACGGGGGTTTAGTGGAAAAATTTTTAGAGAAAAAAATGCTCAAAAATAATTAAAAATCGATATATTTTCGTTGATTTATTCAAAAATTAAGTAGGATTTGAAGAAATTAGAGGGGATTTGGAGGGATTAAAGTGTATAACTTGGTATATAAGTGGATCTGGAGGGATTAAGTGGGATTTTTTGGGTTAAATGGTATATCTAGGGATACAAGGTGATCTGGAGTGATTTTTGTTGGTTCAAGGGATATTAGTGATTTATAAGAATATTGATGTATTGCGGATAAGGGTATTTGGACGGATATCAGGAGATATCTTCGATTAATCCTTAAATCTCCCACGAAATCCTTGTTAATTCCGTTAAATTCACGTAATCCTTTAAATCCATTTTAATCTAAACCTTATATCCCTTTAAATCCCTTTATAACTCCTTAATTCTTCGATATCCTACAAATCCCTTTATATCTCTGATTCCCGTTAACATGACCTAATAGTTTACCAACTGTTATGGTTGAGAATTGGTGATACAGAGGGTTTGAAGGATTAAGGGTGGTTCAAGAGATATCAGTTAAAAATAAAATTAATATTTTAAAATTAAAATTTAACTCGTTAATAATTTGTTTTTGTAAAGAAATATAAAAACAACAGAGTTCACCTTAAATGGATCCGAACCCAATCCTATATTAATGAAATATCGGCTAAAACCAACGACTAAGCCACTCAGCCACAAGTCTTTTAATAAAGAAGGAAAGAAAATTATGATATTTTATTCATTTTTCTTTCAAGAATAATAAAAGCAAAGTAAAATGGGTGGAAATTTTTTAAATTTTCTTCATTAATTTCTCCAAAAAATGACATTTTTAGGGGTATAAAACCCCGATAACCCCGAAACTTTTTGGGCCGGGGAACGGGGTTTTCACTTTTTTTCGGGGCGGGGTTCGGGTCGGGGAGAATCGTGAAAAAATCGTTCGGGAACGGGGTCGGGGTTCGGGGTACGGGGTCGGGGTACAACTCTACCTCTCACAAATAATTACCCTCCGCCTATAATCACCCCCTCCAACTATTCTTGATTGGGATTGGGTAGATTATGGGGGATATCGAGTGATATTACAGGATTAAGAGGGATATTAATAGATTTGGGGTAGGGGGGT